CACAAGGAAACTTGCTTGGGTGGTAGAAATGTTTTTTATCAACCTGGTGGTGCTTACCTGGCTATATGCATATATAAAAATTCACCATGCTATACACTTAAGTAAAACCTCAATAAAGAAAATACAAAAGACATAGAATCATTTAATATTAGAACTAGATATTGTTAATATATTATTACTATATTATGTTAGTATTATACCATTATTAGATATTATCAATATAATATTAGATATTAATATTAGCTTAATAATTACTGTAGCCAACTTGTATTTCACAAATGAGAAAATTGAGGCTCAGAAAAGTTAAGAAGCTTGTTAATATTGTACAAGTAATTTATTAATTTGTTCAACAAATATTTACTGGATGCTAACTCTTTGCTGAGACTGCGTTTGGAGACAGATTAAATAAGAAAGGTATTACCTGCTTTCATGAAGCTTACAGTATAGCTGTAGAAACAGACATTAAATAATCTAAAAAATAAAGATGTAACTGCATGTTGTGATCATGTTGTGAAGGGTTAGCACGGAGTGTTTTCAGCAATTTTATCTAGAGCTGGAATCCAGATCATTGGCCCACAGAGGAGTGTGCTCTTAACTCCAGCAACACTGCCTTTTTTTCATACATTTAGAACCTTAAAAAATCTTGTAACAAACTATAGGTCTAGATAAATTTATTTATTCAGATTTCAAAGGGTAACCTTTAATTGTAAAGCATAAGCAAAACAAATAAATTTAAAGGCACGACTCTTGCCAAAAATACTCAGTTTCAGCAGGTAAGGCACTGATGAAATTATTGGACTCGAAACTTGTTTCCTGTGTGTTAAATCTCAGTTCTTTAGATTCGTAACTTTTATGGCCTGGCAATAGTCTCTCTACCACTTTCCCTTAGTAGAGTAGCCTGTGGTAATTGTTTATTTGGTATTTATGTAGATCCAATGGCTATAAATTAGCCAACTTAGAAAATAAAACTGAGATAACTCAGTCTCAAAACAACCAAGATATCCGTAATAAAATTAAAATACACAACACATCTGGTTTCCTAATCAACTCACAGTCTATTACTTTGGGGTCTGTTTTGAAAGACGCCAGCTACTGCTCAATATCTTTCTGGGGCAGATTGTCCCTGCAGAAAGGCTGATCCAATTTTCTTGCAACAGACACAAATCATTAGTAGCCTCAGTTTTCTTTGATAGGAAGCACCATAATACCATTGTCTTAAGTTTGTTCTTCCTAGAAATAGATCCTGAGACAAAGATTTGAGTGAAAACAGGTCATGTGGGAGCTCATCCTGGAGACACCAATGGGCAGGTAGGGAAATAGAGAGAAGGAAAGGGCAGTGCACACCCGGGACTCCATCAGGAGGCCGCTGCTGGGAGACTGCAGGATGAGCCTCAGAAGTGGCCCGTCCAAGGGGCGAGGAGGCTGGGTGTTTATGCTCCAGCTCCCGTTCATCATTGTTTGAAGGCTCTCCTGGGGCTTAGCTCCCTGGTACTTCCAGCGGGCCCCTGCAAAGGCTGAGCAGACAGCTATACCTAGAAAAAACGCACAAGCAACAAGTGACAGCCATTTAAAGCAAGAAGCCACCTGTGCACAGGAAAATGGTAAATGCTGAAAGGCATATGGATGGACGGCAACAGCGTCAGCTACACATATAGCTCAATTAATGGAACATTCCTGGAAGAGCATGCAAGAGCATCAGTTCTTAGACACAAGTGTGAGGCATGAGGTGAAAGCATGGGTTAACGAGTTAAGCACAAATCAGCTAAGAGGAAGATGTACCACACAGTAGTAACTTGCTTTAAAAATCGAAAAACACTATAGGACTAAGGCTATTATCTTCTCTTACTGCTTAGACTACAGACTACATGTGGCCCAAGTCTGATCATCAAGAGCTCTACTTTTCTCAGTGGGAAAGTCTCCCTGGGGCTTCATGTGTGTCTTTGGCGGAAGAATGAGAGAAGAGGGGTCATGCAGGTGTCATGGGATTATTCCCACAGAAAAAGAACACAGTAAAAATATCCACATATTGTACATGATTTCTTCATAATTAGACAAAAGAAAAAGAAACTAAGCAGAAACTAAAGGATTTGCTAAACTTTAAATAATTCTTTCTTCATCATAAGATGTTTTCTAAAACATTCTTCTAAAGTTAAGAAAAGGAATTATGACATCCAATAAGAGGTTGACATCTTCAAGTTTCTTAACTAGATCATTCAACTTGAAATCATATAAATTCTCTTTTCTCTAACAGATTGTCGTTAGCATGACGTCGTTCCTGTCACCCATCTTTTGATTTCTGTTAGTTATATTATATGCTGTCAAAATATAACAGTTTACTACTCTGTTTTGCCACAATTTTCACTGTTCTGTAATGTCCACTCTATCTTTAAGTGAAGACACTGCTCTTCAGAAGGCCTTTTGCCACAGCCTCCTTGTTTTCTAAATTCTTTATTTTAATTCATCTTTTAATTGCTGAAGTTCACAATCAAGCATTTTTTTTTCTTAAAAATTAATAACAATTCTGAGTACTGGTGACCCTTACATTGTTTCTTGTTTGGTTGGTTGGTTTTGTTTGGTTTTTGTGCTTGCCTTTAGTCTTCAGTGACATCTTGGCTGGCAATAATATCCTTACTTCACGTTTTCCTTCCTTCTGAGCTCCTTTATAGCCCTTTCCCTTATGTGTGGGTATTGAAAGTTGCTGCGTATTAGTCAGACCCCAGGCTGAAAATTCACCTTTGTAAGGGACTTGCTCTCAGCCCATAAGGCTCAAGAATTTTTCTCTCATTCTGGAAATATTGCTGTTGAGTATTTTGTATTTATTTTCCTAGAATGTGATATGGGGATACACACAAGGATACTTCAAAAAGTTCGTGTAAAAAATGGAATTAAAAGATAGTACAAATCTTTCTATGAACGTTTTGAAGACCCCTTGTGCATATGCATTTCCTTCTATTCTTTTTTTCCTTCCTTCCTTCCTTCCCCTCTTTTTCCTTCTTCACTTCTGTGAGATGGGGTTGCTGCTTTCATCTGCGAGGAGTCCTTTCTCCTGTTTTGCCCACTTCTTCCTAACAGCCATTTCCACGACAGTGTAGCTAGAAGATAAAGATAAAGACCCGCTTCATCTGTCTTCCTTCACTCCTGGCTCAGGATGCTGTGTACCTACCCGTGTCATTTCCAAGAAATGGGGGAAGGTGAACAGACTTCCCATGCTCTGTTGTGATCTTCTGCAGTGTTCCCTTGGGAGTTCCTCGTTTCCTTAGCTGCCACTTTTGGAGGCTAATGGCATTGAGCTTTTCCTCTTGGTGTATATTATTGCTGACCCTTTACTATTTTTGTCAAGTTTATTATCCAGAAAAGTATTCTTTAAAGCAGTTTTATTCTTCCTTCTTAACATAGATATCCCTAGAATTTATATCCGTGAGTTCCCTAGTTGATTCATATGCTCACCCAGTTTGAGACTAGTGACTCCTGTATTTTCGTGCCCAATACTACTTACTTTTCTCCACCGAGGTTACATTTATCCTCCCTGAGACTCAGTGTGACTTTATCTACAAAAGAAGAAGATATTCTCAGGCTACACCTTATTTTGTGGTTGTGGCAATGAGATTAATGAGGTCATGTATACTGATACATTTCAAACACTTTGTCACACTCGAGAAAAATATTATTGTCATTTCCACCATCTCCTTACAGGAACTGAAGAATTTGCTCATCTATTTAGTCTTCACATCTGTTTGGGTACTGTAGTTGCTCAACTAGTTACCAGATTTTTCAGGGATTTCATTTTCTCCTGTACTTTACATTCAAAGTGTTATAGTGGATAGACTAAAAGGCCCCTCGTTTTTGTATTGTTTTTCATAGAAACTTTAAACGAACGATGAAAATGGCCAGTAACTCATTTCTGAATGCTCAATGATTATTTTTAAATGATTGATTGATTTGTAACCTGAAATCCCACCATAAGGGGAGACTAAGCAGCTAAAAAAGAAAAAAAAAAAAGGAATGAAGCCCAAGAACTGGGTAGTTGTTTTGTATCTTTTTATAACATTGTTTGTGGCTGGCTGGTTAGCTCAGTTGGCTACAGCGTGGTGTTATAATACCAAGGTCAAGGGTTCGGGTCCCAAGACCAGCCAGTCACCAAAACACCTCCCCTCCCCCCCACACACACACAATACCATTTGCACTGGATAGATGATCACAGAAAAGCAGGGTAACATGAAACTCAAGGGTTCGGGTCCCAAGACCAGCCAGTCACCAAAACACCTCCCCCCCCCACACACACACACAATACCATTTGCACTGGATAGATGATCACAGAAAAGCAGGGTAACATGAAAAGATTTCTTTAGTTCTGCCTCAGAACAGCTGAACACACAGAGCTGGGAAATCCACGTGTGATTATCTTTTAGTAAATCAGAAAAATAAAGGACATTAAATAAATGCTTCCACTATTTCCGAAAACTAAAAGCTGTGTGCTGGTTTATGATAATAACCAAGTGGAAATCCACCCTAATCCTATGCCAAATAAATTCTACAGGCTCCTTGTAAAACCCAATAACTTTATCTTCATACAGAGAGAAATATAAGCAAGAATTTAACAGATGCATCTATTTTTATGACTGAGTTTTCTTAGGATTCTGCTTCTCCTCCTGTTGTCCTCCCAGGAACTTTTCAGTATCTCTGTTCCTTGCTGTAGACTTTCCATTTCAGAAAGATCATGACAGACACTTGACCTTCCAGGCCCACTTACCTTTACTTCCTGAGATCAGAAGGCCACTTTGTATCATATGTTCTTTTCTCTTCAAGCCTCAGGAACCATTATCCTATGGCTGTCGTTAGACAGTCACAAGGAAGGGCCCAATCAAGGAGCACATCTGTCATATATCTAGGGGTTTGAAAACAGCCTTGGAAAGCCTCGTGGTGACACATAAAGATAAGATCCATGCATAAAATGAGCTAAACGGTAGGATGTAGAAAACTTCGCTTAAAATGACAACATATTTCAAACCTGGATACATTTTATTTATAAATAACATGTAGATACAGAAGTTAATAAGATATTTCAAAGATCTCCAGTTTATTAGCACAGACATACCAGAGAAGAAAAATAGCATGTTTATATGTTTCTGCCATATGACAGCAAAAACCAAGGCTGGTTACATCCAGACATCTCAGTAGACATAGTGCCAGATCACTTGCAAACTACAAGCATTAGAGTGGTTTTTTGTTTTGTTTTTTTGTGGGCACTCCTGTATAATTTCCCTAAATACTTTCATTCCTGCTATTTATGCTATGCAAATATATCACATCAGTTAGATGACTTTAGATCAAATCTTCTTCAGTAATCATGACTTTTGCTAAAAAAATATTTATGGATAAAAAATATTTAAATTTTATCCCCCTCAGTCTCCTCCCCCACCCATTCTGTCCATGAATTTATTCCATCTGTGCCCTGTGGGAGATAGTCTAACAGAGATGAAATTGTTTTCATTCCTCTGCTACTATCCATAGTACCCCTTCTGGAAAGTGTAACATACTAGAATTTTAGAAATATATCTTTTTTAAAAAACTATCAAATGTATACATTGATACTCTGAAGCCAAAATGTTTTTTAACCAAGATCAAATTCTTCCTCTGTCTCCAATAGGGCCAACTCAATAACTTTCGTGAAGGCCAGGAAATGGGTCTCTAATACTCCAGGAAGATGCGCATTATCCGCACAGCAGTGGAGCAGGAAGTGATCCTGTTGCAATAGAGATGGCTTCATGTGCACACTGACACATATCTCTGTAACCGCATTTACAGCACTGCTGCTTCAGTGTTCCCACTGCATTTTCATGCTTTGGAAAGTTGAAAAATCTATTTTTTCCATGTTAAGTGTTATTCATTCCTGGCCTGTATGACTTTCATAATCTCAAAAAAAAAATTATAATTTGTGGATGGGAAAAGTTCCTATTAGTAAGGTACTAGTGCCATTGCATAGCCTGGTGAGGACATAGCATTTATATGGCCCCAGAATTCCTTCCAAGGATGCTGCATCTCATAATCAGACCCAAGGGTAAGTATCTCCAAGACGGGCAGCAGCATACAGAATCTACAATTCTACCTGTTCTTCATGGGGCTGCTAAAGAATTGAGTCACTGCAACTCACACACACTTGTATAGACTCACGTAATTTATTTAATCATCAGATGGGAAAAGAATCCATTATATTCCCAAAGGATTTCTACACAAAGTGTAAACACCTGCTCTCAAATAATTTAGGGAATTGAGACTGAATGACTGAGTTTTTGAAAAGCCTAAACTTCTCCTCTTTTAAAGTAATGTAAATATATGCCCTGGTAAGACCTTGAGAGACAGTCTTAGACTTCGCCTTTACTTAATTTGATCTTGGACCTGAACCCACTTCGTAAAACTCCAATTCCATATTTGAAGGTGACTAAAACTCCATTCCCTCATCTTTTAAGCATGTCTTTTAAAAATATAAAGAACACAGTGCTGTACTCAGTATTTTAGCCAAAAAACTGCTGGTTAAATTCACAGAGAGGATGAATAAAAGGCAAAAGTAAATAAACAGGACTTAGAATTCTTTAAAAAAAAAAAAAAGAACTTTAAAAATAAATTGAGCTGCAAAACTACTTTTGCAATCACAGTGCCACGTTTGTCCCTACTGTTTCAGAGGCACTGCACAGATATGAACAGAATCATCAATGCACTTTCTCAAGCCAGTGCTTCTCAACCAAGGGCTAGTGCACATTCATTCTACTGCGAGGTGCCCATGACACTTTGGTTTGCTTTATTGGCAATAAATTGGCAACGTGTCCTATTCTAAGAGGAAGGCTGGAACCAAGCATGTGACAAGAGCCAGCTCCGCCACGTTACTTCTTTTCATGCTTCTTGGTTAAGTCCCCCATGCCCTGCTGGAAGCCGCTGCGACCGTCCCTGGCTCTCTCCTCCCTGCGCCGACTCTCCTGGGAGACCTGCCGCACGGCCCGCAGGATGGCATTCTGCACGATCTGTTCACTGGCATTCTGCAGTCTCACCTCTTCAGGCTCACTTCCAGGTTTCTCACCTAGCCAGGAGTATGAAAGGGAGATGAAAAGAAGAGGAATTAATTTTGGGAACTGTGACAGGGAGGAGTTGGGGAAAGGTGGGAGGAGCGGTGAGAGTAGGACCTGCCAGAGTGGCCCCATCAACTGTGAAAGGCTGCTATGGTCTCCCTGTCTTTCTTTCCATCAGAATCTCTATTTTGTTTGCCCAGTAATGTGCCCAACATAAATATTCTCACCATCGCGGGATCCTTGGCTGCTGGAGGTGATCATGAGACAGTCCTGGCCAATGAGGGCCTCTGGGAGATTTTTTAGAAAGGGACACACTCTCACCCCCTTTGGCCTTTTGCACCTACCCCTTCCTCCTGCATGAAATGCAGACATATGCCTCAGGTGCTGTGGCCATCGTACTGTAAGCATGAGATGAAGGCCAATATTCTAGGCATTAGTGGGGAGAAAGAGAGAGTCCAGCGTTGAAGGCAGTACTGAGCTTCTGCACAAGCCCTGCACCACGTACTTCTGGGCTTTTATTATACATGGTGAAAATAAAACCCTTTTTGTTTGATCCATCATTAGTCAGATTTTGTTCCCTGCAGCCAAACATATGCCTAAATGTATAACTTCATTGGGGCTGGAAAGAAATGAATGATCTCTGTATCCAGATCAAGCTCAACTCCACGTCCACAATGGCATCACAAGGAATGAAGCCATTCATCAGAAGTTGTCCTCCATGACCTAGAACAGGTTGGCAAATTTTTTCTATAAAGGACCAGTAGATACTCTAGGTTTGTGGGCCATGCAATCTCTGGAACAACAACTCAACTCTGCTGTTGTAGCATGAAATCAGCTACAGATTAATGCATATGTCTTTGTTCCAACAAAAGCTTTATTCACAAAATACAGGCTGCAGGCTAGATTGGGCCTGTGAGCCATAGTTTGTCAACCCCTCATCTAGAACGGTGGGAGTTTTCTGTTTAAAAGCCAAGCCAGTCTCTCCAACACTGATTCTTTTCTTTCTTCCTTAGTTAAACACAAAATCTTAATTTTACTTGGACAGCTATGTAACAGGTAGAGCTAAGTTCTGACCAATGAGGTGGAAGTAGAAGCTCACAGTGAAAATCCTGGAAAAGGTATTTAAAAGGAAACAGTCAGATAAAGGCCTTTTTGCCCTCTTCCCATCCTACTGCCTGCAAGTCTGACCTGCTAGTTGTCATGACAGGGGCTCTCACTAACCATGAGGGAATGTTCAGAATATAAACCAGTTTCAGGAACTTTGGAAGAAAAAGTTAGAAGGAGCCTGGGATCCCAATGACCCAGAAACCACATCAGTTCTCAGCTGCCCACCTCAAGGTCTCTCTCTTGTTAGAAAAAAATAATACATCTTGTTTAAGACAACTGCTATTTTCGATTTTCTTTTATTATTCAGCAAACAATACTAACACATGCATGGTAGAATGACTGCAAATCTAACATTTGGCTAAAGTGCAATCTTGAAATTTTAAACTTCCACTCACTTATATTTATGGTGATAAATAAAATGGGCATCATTCCTTATTCAAAACCATCTTTTCAGATGTTTCCTCTATTTGAATATGCTGCTACCATGAAAATGTATTTAAAATAGAGGAGAGAGGTTCACCAGCATTGATTTATTAACCACAGAATTTATACACCCATGAGGAAAACATTGCATAAGAGAATATTGAGTCCTCTGGAAGACCAGACAGCTCTTATCCCGTAGGACATATAATTGTCATTTATTTAGCATTTTTATTCATCCCTTGAGGGATTTCCAATCTAGTGAGCAAGGCAAGATGAACCTACTCAACACAAAGAACAATACAGAAACAAAAAGCAGAATAAAATGAGCAATCTACACCAAACCAAGCAGAAAAGGAGTCCAGAGTTGTAATGTGTAACAGACTGAAACTTCAAAGTGGAAAAGTAGAATAGTTTGAATATTCTCTTAGAAAAAGAGTGGAGAGTAGTAAGCAGTAATAATAAGAGACACTAAGACACAGCTATTAAGAATATGTGTTTTGAATCACTTCACAGCTGAGTTCAAGTCCTCTCTGCCACTTACAGTAATGCAACCTTGGGCAAGACAACTCACCTTTCTGATCCTGTTTGCACATCTGTAAAGTGTCTAAGTAATACCCATTTGGGATGGTTACTAGAGAATTAAGTGATGTCACACCTCTTCAGCATTCAGTGTGGTTCCTGACACATAGTAAGTAGTTAGTAAGTGTCCACCATTGTATATTAGTCAGGGTATAGACTAAGCTCAAAAATGATAGAGGCAGCTCACACAAGGAGAGGTATTTATTGCTGTCCCATAGCAGCAGTACTCTAGTGTGCAGGTGGCCCTGCTCCACAGCATATCTGTGGACTTCCTTCCATCTACTGCTCTGCCATTTCCTACAGCATTACCCTCATCTGCACCCATGAAGCTGGTTGACCACTACGCCATCTGGGGCTGGAAGACAGCAAAAGAGAAGATGCACGGCAAGCAATTTCCTTTCGAAGAGTTGTCACAGAAGTTGCAAATATCACTCCACTCACATTCTACCAGGGGAAACTCAGTCCCACGGTCACTCCCAGCTACGAGGAAGGTTAGGAAATATAGTCGTGAGTTGGGCAGCCATAAGCCCTACTAAAACTCAAGGAAGTCCTAAAGATAAAATTAAAAATTAAGGATTTTCTAAAATTACTTCCACACAAGGCCCGAGGCTACACCAAAAAAGGAGAGTAAATGCTTGCAGCAGGTCAAATCCGATACTCAGGGAGCTCTGTCTACTGCCACTGTACAGTGTAAGTGTGGGGGCAAACAAAAAATATATGAAAGTTTCATGCTTGCTCCTAGGAAAAGTATCTCAGCCACACTAGATGTGTGTTAACTCTAACATGTCCCTGCTGTGCAGCTATTTTTCTGTCTTGGACAGAGGAAAGAAGAATCTAGGGATAAGAGTAAGCTGATTCTTTAATACTAGAGAGAGAAAAAAAGAAAACCTACTCTTAGTTTAGCTGTGAGCTAAGTTATCATGTCCTCATCCCTCCATCATGAAGATAAATCGATTAAAACGTAAAACATGCCAGGCTGTGTCTAGAGGGCCCTTTGGTGACTGGCAAGGTTGGTTTAAGCAGCCCTCACTGTGAGTTGACCCCTCACTGCCGTCAGGACCACTTTGCTCTGGGTCATGAACATCTACCTGCAGTGGAGGATGAGGGCAGAGAGATTGGAGCAGCTGGAACAGAGAAAGAAGGGGCTGAAGATGAGGGGAAACGCAGCCCACGCACTGAACAGATGCAAAACAAAAAGCTATGCAAACCCCAGGTGCATACTGTGTGTTGGGCTCTTGGCATGCAAGGGGGCAATCCTCTCTTCTGTTACCTTAAGCGCTAAGGGAGGGGAGGGCACAGTCATCAGGAACCATTCAGCTGAGCCTCCCAGTATAATCAGAAGCTGGAAGAATCCAACACAGCTCCAGTTACTGCATTACCCAGGCTATCTTCTGCCACGAGAGGGCCTCAACTCTCCATCTGCTGACGCAGCCAACAGCCTCTCCCATTCCTCTGGAGTCTCCCTGACTTCATGGCATTTACTTCCTCTTGTTTCTGCTTACTCACGACTACACTGCCTCATGAGCCTACATCCTGCCTTCTATCTGAGGGCACCCCAATGACAGTTCTGCTTGCAACAGACTGACCTTTGCCATCTCTTCAGCTGAAATCCAGAGACAGAACCCCAAAGACCCAGCATATTTCCACTGTGCCTATCATGCAGCACTTTCAGGCCAGGCCACTTGTTAGACCAGCCATAGGCTGAAGGCCGGTGGCTTACTGTGCCCCCAGCAACTGGGCCCCAGAGGTGGGATCAGGAGGTGAGAACACAGCTCTTCAGGAAGAAGGAACCACTGAGCCCCTTGCCTTGGCAAAGCACCATGGGCAGGCAGAGCAGGTGTTCACAAGTTTGTCTCCATCCAGTACAATGCCAACTGGTACTCCTACAGCGCTCACCTGAAAGGACAGAGTATTTGAGACAATCCTGGTGTGGAGACCGTTACTGTAAGTACGGTGTGAAGTACACTACAACCCAAAAGAAGGCAGGGGCAGCCACGAAAATCCTCAGTCTCATTACTGACTTAGATGCACCTAATTTACTTCAATGTAATGAATCACCTACATGTTGCAGGTGGCCTACGGCCTAATTTTAAGTGATGCAAATGTCCTCTAGCCTAATTAGCATTTACAGCATCATGTTCACATTTCACAAAAGATGATGAATCGATTTAATTAGCTTTAAACTCTTAAATGCCCAATATAAATACACTGAGGTCAAGAAAGTGATGTAACTAAATCAGTCTTCAGTGCTTTTCCACCGCATATTGTCACCTGCCTACCCCCTCCCCCAGACATCCTGCTTCCTGGGGACCCCCCCAGCCCACCCTATGTGATCCAGCCTTCCATAGGCTACCCCGAGCTCTGCAGCTCCCCCTACTCCCTACTCCCCCCTACTCCTTTCTGTTCCAGATCCACTCTCACCTGTCAGAAGTGGAAGGTGTCTAAGGAACTCAAGTGCAATATGGTTAATAATTAGTCTTCATTCCTTATGCACAAACATTAAAATTGTGCTTCTAATGACCATAGGAAGATCCACCTGATAAAAATTTACATCAATCTTCCCCCTAAGAACCTAACTGCTATTTACCTCTATTACTTTAACCCTATTATATTTCAGTGAGTTGAGTTTTGGAAAATGTCAGTGTTCCATTTTGAGACAGAAGACTATTATTGGTTTTTCCTAGATTGCACAGATAGGCTGGGAGAGGTTGCATCATAAACAATGTCTCTACCTCTCCTTTCTCCCCACTGGGTCACTAGATACACAAAGCACAGACGCCCCTACCAGGGCAGAACAGCACCCACCACCACTCCCTGCACATGCTCTCTGATCCTCTGCTGCTCGTGGTAACTGCGGAGCATAGTTTTTATCTTCCCCTCTGATTGCTTGAGACTGTGAAGA